TTCTAGAAACCGGTCAACATGCAATCCGAATCAAATAAATGTACAAGTAGCATGTAGAATGCATCAGGATGGTCTTTTATTTCGGGTACACCTGTCCTAGACGAACCCAACCCCTGTGTTGAGTCCCCTAAGTCAAATGCACGTGATGCAAACAAGCGTTCCTACTTGGGATCCGGTATGAGGTTATGTTATTCTAGGTTTAAACCAGGGGTATTGTTCTAGACCTGGCTTACCCGAGCGGACAGCTCGAGCCGAGGGGGGGCAGCGTACAGGGAATACAGAAGCTTAACCGGCTTTGCAACTTGTCCGAAACTCATTCTAAAATTAGGATATGACTCTTACAGAAGAGAAGTCACACGAAGTGCACACTTCCCAGATGATTTAGAAGACTCAGAGAGAAGAGGGTTTCGTAACAGTTTATATACAATTCAAGCAATATCAAAGCGGTAAAAAGCAACATTTAGCACATTAGGCTCAAACACGTAAAAATCAGATAACAAATAAAAGCCAACTATAACAGATATTCTAAGCTCAAATTTTGAACCCTGAACCAGAAGTTCTGGGTCCTTGTCCACCAGAGCTGTCACACCTTCTTTTTCTACCCCGGAAGGGGTATAGGGGAGTTTTTCCAATTAAAGTGACAATCGAAACGGGATTATTTTTTAAATTCAGAGTCTCCACTTGGGATAATTTATGGTGTCCCAAGTCACCGGTTTAAAATTCCAAATCGAGAATGTTTGACTCTGTTTCGGTCCGCGAAATACAGAAATCCGGGTAAGGAATTCTGTTAATCCGGGAGAAGGTGTTAGGCATTCCTGGGTTCCGTGGTTTTAACACGGTCGCTCAACTATTATTATTGGCCTAATTATCTGATTAATTACATATTTTATACCTATTGTGCATTAATTATTCCTTTTAACCGCTTTTAGTATTTTTTAGGAAAATTCAGGGTCGTCATACACTTGTTTGTTTTTTATAACACATCGTAAACCACGCTACATGAAATGCACCTGCGGTTCACGACATGTTTTATTTATTTAACAATATTGGAACTTGAAGTCAGGTCACATGAAATGTACACACGAATTTTAGAAATTAAGTATCACAACTACGTCACGGGAACCGTACCCGTAGCTATGACAATTATTTCATTAACGCGCCTAAAGCAAAACTACGAGAGTTCAAGGCATGTCTCTACATTAATAAAGATATTGATGTGAGGGCCATAGACTAGGTGATTAGCTGGCACACCTCAATTTACTTTTTAAGAATTACACTTAATTAAAGCAGTCCAAGGATGTTCTTATTTTTTTTAGAAAATGATTTGAGCTTAATAAGCAACTATTAGTTGTAAAAAACGTTTGGGGTGCATGTACTGGGTCTCTAATTATTTGGGGAAAAACAGGCCAATTTCAGGCCCAAGCTATTGTAAACAAAACGTCCAAAATAAATGGGGACTAATGGGGGTTGGGCTTAAAACCAAACCCAAAAGCAAAATCCCAAAAATGGATCCCAGACCCCGTCAGGTATGGTCTCGCCTGCATCGTATCATTTGGGCTGATATAAGGCCCAAAATGAAAGCTCTGAATATACCAAGTCCCTTTAACATATTTATTACTCATATTGCTGCAACCAGCAACATACAACACTAGATTCTAAAAGATTATCATGCTGAATCTGTGTATGAAATATTTACACTAGCTAAATCAAATAAATTAAACACCATGACATACTATGCTTAAAAATTGGAGTTTCAACCAATTTCAATAAAAAAAAAGCAAAAAGTTACTGAAACTAAAATCCTGGCTGCAAACATGGTTAATCAATTAATTATGAACCATTATTATACAAAATACTCCTAAAATCCAGCAAACTCTTAATAAAGAATAAATGCTATTACAACTTTTAAACAATCTCGAGACTACCAGGCAGCACATGGAACAATCAAACTATGCTTGAAAATTCATACAAATAGCTACTAACAACCTAAAATGTCCAGATTTCAGAATATTTACACAAAACATAATGCCAACCAAATAAATTACAACTAACATTCATATGAGAACTATAACATTAACATTCACTTATTATAAAAAAAAAAAAAAAGTAAAACATGTTGTACATCTTCATTTGCCTGTCAGCAGTTCATGAGTGTACCTGGATACCAAAGGCAAAACAAAAATGTGAGGATCTCAGCTAAAAGCAGAAGCGTGAGCAAAGCAGCAAATCAACATCAATATTCAGCTTCTTTAAACCCAGAAAACCAGAAATCCCATGAAATCCGAATCTCTGATTTTAGGAGTGAAAGAAGGGTTCTATATATAGCCCTTGAGGAGTGTTATGTGCTGAAGAGAATAATGGAATTATTCCTTCAGCCACAAGGCATCCTTTTTAACAGAAATGGGACAGCTGGCCATTTCTAATTGACTTCAGCAGTTTGTACTGCCAAATAGAGCTAGCTGCCCATGTTCTAGAAGTCTCTAATTACCTTATCTGAATTTCCTATTAATCCAACCCTCAAACGACCCCTTAAGTTACTGCTTTCATTCTTTTACCCCTCACAAATTTCAATTAAGGCTGAAATAGTTGAAACAAAACCATTGAATAAAATAAAAACTGACCTAAGCTAATTAAGCAATTAGGCATACACTAATTAAACTAAACTATTTAAGAGTTTACTAATCAGGCATGAATCAAACCAAGTCAATGAACCCTAGAAAAACTGATTAAAATTAACTAATGTTATGACTGATACCCATTGGCTGATTAATCAAAGAGAGATTCTAAATAAACAAAAAATTGAATAAATTGAACAAACCAAAACACGGCAAACCAACAATTACCCTAAAAGAAACCTAACTGAATTACTGCCTTATTAAAGGAATTGATTCAATTCTTTTAAACACCTAAATTAACTAATAATTAATGACTAACCATTGAACTAATTAACCACAGAGCAATGTCAAAATTTAAGAAAAATAAAATAGAAATAAAAAAATAAGATGGAATAACAACAAATAGCGGACAACACTAGGAAGAAGGAGATTAAACCTAAAATGAAGACAAGAAATGTACCTATTGAGAAAACAAAAAGGAATCCGATGCAAATTTGGCTCGACTTCGAAATAATTCGGAATTGACCCCAAATGATTGTTCTTGTCAAGAACAATCCATTTGGGGTGAGTTTCGAACTACACGAACATAAAGGATTGCATAAAACCGGAACATGCAAGAACAGATTTTCTTTTTGAATCTCAGATCTGAAATTGGAGGAGTTCGATGGGGATTTAAGGGAAACCATTGAAGGATTTGGAAAGGAGGGGAGATGAGGATTGCATGGTTAAATTTTGGGGTGGTTTGGAGCACCGAAACCGCCGTGAGGCGATTTCTGGTGGGTGGTCAACGGCGGAGGCAGCGGATAAATTTAGGGCGGCTGGTCTCTAGGGTTTGGGTTAGAGAGAAGGAAACGAGGAAATGGGGGGTCTGAAAGGGTATGGGGGTGTCGTTAGGACATTTTTATAGGGGTGAGTAGGTTAGTTCCGAGCCGCTGGATCTCAATGATCCAACAGTTGTGATGACAGGGAACAGAAACGAGGTCGTTTGGTTTAGGGTGGGGCTGGACTGGTTTGAAGGGATTGGGCTGAGTCGGACCGGGTAAGGGATTGGGAGATTGGGCTGGTGGTGGTAATTGGGTCAATTTGAACTCTGGCCCAATTTTAAGGCCAAATTAAAACCCTCTTCAAATTCTTTTCTCTTTTTGTTTTCTTTTTCTTTCTCTAATTAATTAAAAACCTAAATTAAATTTCTAAATTAATTTAAAATGTAAATTAAGCTAATTATCTAACTATAATATTTATAAAAACCAGTTGACCCTAGATTAAAAGAGAAAAATTACTAATCTAAAATTAAAAGCTAAAAATGTAAAAGTGACCAATTCTTTTGTGATTTTTATCTTAATAAAACAACTAATTCACTGATTAATCCTAAAATATGAAAACAAAATCTCAATGCAATGCATGATATTTTTGGTATTTTTTCATGATTTTAATAAAAGTAAACATGCACAGAAATGCAAACAATTAACAAAAAAATCCTATAAAATTGCAAACAATTGGAAAAAATCTATAATTTGTAGGAGTATTTCACATAGGGCAAAAATCACGTGCTCACAATTACCCTCGGATTCAAGCCTAAGAACTTCTAAACTTCCAAATTCCGCGAACAACGCCGAAACCTACAAATCACCTCCGATGACCTGAAATTTTGCACACACGTCACAATTGATACTACGAACGTTACTCCAACTTTCGAAATTCTATTCCGATCCCGATATCCAATTTTCCCCTGCCGACCAAAGTCGCCAAAATTCCAACTTTCGCCAATTCAAGCCTAATTCTACCACGGACCTCCAAATCACATTCCGGGTGCGCTCCCATGTTCAAAATCACCTAATGGAGCTAACGGAACCATCAAAATTCCAATTCGAGGTCGTTTACTCATAAGTCATCATCCGATTGACTTTTCCGACTTAAGCTTCTAATTAGGAGACAAAGTATCTCATTCCACTCCGAAACCACTCCGGGACCCAAACCAACTAACACGATACGATAAAATATAGCTGAAGAACACAAAAGGAAGCAGAAATGGGTGAAACGGGGCTATAACTTACGAAACGACCGGCCGGGTCGTTACACCTCGTTGAGCAATTCCATATGATGTGGATGCTTCCTTGGCCATTAGTGCCTTGTGGGATGGGATGCGAGCTCTCTTGTCCATGGCTGGCACATGTTAGCTAACATGCACCGAGAGAGAAAAGCAAACCATCCGACAATTATATTATCCAAAAAAATATCTTGGTGAATGTTTCTACTTACAAATCTAGGGGGTTATATGATTTTCACAAACTTTAAGCGTGTAATTGGCAAAAGGAAATAAATTGGGGGATGCTTATGCATTCTCCCTTTTAACTTTATTGTTAGATCGCCGAATAACATAGAATTCGAGGGTCTTGTACGCACTTGACCGAAACTGTTAGTGAGGATTTTTCGCAATACTTGATCCAAAGTACTGAAGTAGTCCAAACTGAGGGAAAGTAGTTCATACGGGAAAATCTTCATTTCTAGGGTTAGGGTTTCAGATCTGAGCAAAATCATTGGGGAAAGGATATGGCGATGAGAAACTTTTACAACGAGATCAAGGGCATGAGAGTGAAGGAGGTGGGGACTTACCTCAAGCCGATGTTCTCCGTGGGTTACGCGAAGAGTGCTGTGAAGAGGGGATTGGATAATTACCATGCCAAGTACATCCAAACCAGCTCCGTTGATCCCGTCTACCACGTCTGCTTCGGAGGCATGGCTTTCTCCTACCTCGTCGCCCTCCCCGAAGAGCGTCGCCACCTTGAACACAAGCAACACGCCAAACATTGATTCTCCCGAGGTATCTTTTTACTAAACTTGAATTTAGCTATTAAATTGGCATTGAAATAGCGCCTTTACACAATTTTCATTGAAATCCTGGGGTCAAATCTAGTGATATTTATGTTATATACATAGATAGGTCTGGCTTACTGGCTATACTGTTTGCTATCTAAGATATATATTAAAATGGATCAGCGGGTGAATTTAGAAGCTAAGGCTCCCGGCAATCTGTATCATGTGGGAAGCATATTCTTCACTTCACACTGATTGGCGCATTGCATCACTTCACATTTAGCCATCAGTCATCACAGTTTTTTTAATCTTCGCTGGGACATCAAACCATTTCTACATGTTCTCTTAGGATCCTGAGAACTAGGGATATCTCATTCACGTTGTCCATTTGTGAGAGAGGAGATAGCTTGAGCAGATTTTGATTTTTATACTTCAAATTTGCTCAACTTGTGTGCCGTTAATGCTAGTTTGTTTCCTCTATTGTTTTCTTTGGAGGGTTGGTAAGGTGAGGTTGATGAAAAAGAACATATAATAATACCTTGGTGGTTGGAGTGTCAACATTATTCTGTTGAAGATGCTATAATATTTGTGGGCCGCAGTCTAAGGATATGTTTGATATGTTTTGCGGAGCACTTGGTTCCCCTTAGAGTCAGTATTTGAAGGAGGATTGATTGTGGATTCTGAAAGAAAACAGTTTGTAGCCTGCAGGAATATGGTCCATCCAATGATCAGCAGAACTGTGTCTTTCTCTAAGCCCCAATCGTAGTTGTGGTTAGATCTTGGAACTTAGAGTCACAAGGATATGGATTATACTTTGATTTGAATTTGTTATGACTTTGTCCTAATTCTTTTATTTTCTCGTGCTCTCTCCTTCCTCCTAGTCTCCTAGACTCTAGTTCCATCCTCCTGCGTACCTAGTTTTAAAATGTGATGTCTTCTTCTCTTCATTTAATTTTTTGTTTTCCTCCCATGGTGGAAATCAAATCTAGTTTCTTTGTTTGCACGTGGGTGCATTCTCCCTCAACTCTTCATCTATTTGTTGTAAAATGTGTCATCTTTCTTTTCGCTGCATTTTTCCCTCCTTAAGTCATCTACTTTATTGTAACTTGTATCGTCTGCAAATTCTATATGTACGTGCATCATGTTTTACAGTGGTTTACCACTGTGCAGGGCACAAAGGAAAGCCTTTTGTTCTAAGGTAATCGTGTGACACTGTATTTATTTAGGGGCGTCATTTCTTTACAGTGATTTACCACTGTGCAGAACTCAAAGGAGAAAGCCTTTTGTTCTAAGGCAATCATGCGACCTTAAGAAACAGTAGGAGGAGAGAAATAAATGAATACTGCAATTTTTTAATTCTAAAAAATAAATCAGTACTGCATTCTCTCTCTCTCTCTCTCTGTGTGTGTGTGTGTGTGTGTGCGCGCGTGTGTCTAGGTTTATCATTTGATAAGTTTTGTAATTCATCTCGTCATAGAGGGAAGAGAACAGGCTAAAAGAATTTGCAACCACCCTTTGTTATCGGCTCGTCCTAGTGAGTGAGAGAACAAGCTAAGAAAAGGATAACCAATTAGCTTGTTTGGGCACATACTGAGTTGCAACTACCCTTGGGCTAATGACCATATGCAAGATAATAATGTTTCTAAGAATCTCTTCATTTGTATCCATTATTCGGGCAATGGTGATAGAAAATTGTTGTGCTTGGCTTAATGATTTATCAATCATGAGCTGCAATTGACATAAGATAGTTGCTGAGTTGCTACTACCCTTGGGGTAATGACCATATGCGAGATAATAATGTTTCTAATAATTTCTTCATCTATATCCATTATTAGGGCCATGGTGATAGACAATTGTTGTGCATGACTTAATGATTTATTAACTCATGAACTGCATTTTGACGTAAGATAGTTCCTAAATTGTCTCCATTTTTGCCTCGCTATGACTTAATGATTTATTCGTGCACTAAGCTAGCAACTTTTATACATGACTTTCTTTTCTTATTTATCCTTGCAGGCTATACTTTTTTATTTTATTTTATAATGAAGAATATATTCTTCACAGTAGCATCAGGATGATTTACAAGTTACCAAAATGTTAAGAGTCCCCCAAACATCTTTTCAGCTTACCGAGGACATGTCCATTGACAGGAGGGTGTGGAGGTCGAGGATTAGGGTAATAGATTAGCAAGTAGTCTCAGTGTATTTCTTTTCCAAACCTGTAATTCTTTTCCATAGCTGTAGTACTAGTGTTATCCTCGTATTCCCTATTCTTATATCTCTATTATTACCTGATGTTTCTTTTGCTTCGGTTATATTATTTTCTGGATGTTGTTATTGCTTCTCTTTCCCTAGTTCTTTGTCCTAACTGCTGTGATTTTGCTTTCATTGAGCCGAAGGCCTACCGGAAACAACCCCTCTACCTTCACAAGGTAGTGTCAAGGTCTGCGTACATGCTAACCTCCCCAAACCCCATTTGTAGGAATACACTGGATATGTTGTTGTTGTTGTTGTTTACAGTCCTGTGATTACACCCAAAAAAAAGAAGATTCAACTGACATCTAGTTTTTAGTACTGGGTTTGAAGCTGAAGTCTCCCAAAGCATCTGGTGTTCATTTTCTTTCTTAGTGTCCAAAAAATGCAGTAAAGTACTGCTTGCCATCTCTCCTTTTTTCCCCTTTCCTTTTCCAAGTTCCATGCTCTCCGGCTTACAAAAGCTTCACGGCATTGTCCATGTTGTAGAAAAGATATTGAGGAACTTACATCTTATACTTCTGGCCACAGCACAATGTAGGAACAAGTGTTTTACAACCTCTACATTTGAGTTTCATAGGCAGCATTTGCTGCAAAGTTTGAACCCTCTTTTCATCAGATTTCGAGTTAGGCAAGGCTTTTACATCACTGTCCAGCTGTAGCATGCCACTTTAAACCTTGCTAATTAGTCCATCAGCGGCTAAGCTTATACTCTCAGTTTGTGTCATGTTATTCTTTAATGTGAGTAAACACTGGTTAACGAAATTTACGCAACTACTCAGTGGAAAGAGTATTTTCAACCTTGGAGTTATTGTATTGACTTGTTTACTTATTAATATATTTCTTACGCTCATACTTCTAAGTAAATTTCAATCTTGTAGACATTGGGTACTCATGTATGGTATATCTCCTCAGAAGCTGAACTACTATTGCAATTTTCTTATGGAAGTTTTACTAAAAGTCTTGTTGAATGAGAAAGTGCTTTGCAACTGTAAATACCTCTGAAGTACACCCATTGGTTGAATGTGTTTTAGAGTAGCGTTCTATATTTTGCCAAGGGTTGTATGTTAAAGCTCATCCATTTTTGCCTTTCTTGACAGGTCTCTTGGGAGTCGAAGTTAGATGGTTCAGCGAAGGACTAGCATTGGTGTTTGTCGGCTGCTTTCTGTTTCCTTTTCCTAATGTGTGCAAAATTTGGTTCATTTAGATTGATGAAAATAAAATTTGTCGTACTACAAGTTCCTAACGTGTATGCGTTTATACTTAGTATTGTCATGCCTGGAATAGGCAAAACTGGTTTTGGGTTGTGTTGCGCCCGTTTTAAGGACTGGATGTAAAGATTTTTGCTGCGTCCCAATATCTACAGCATGTTATCTGATAATCTCATTATGTTGTTACCTTGCTTACGTTACTCTTGAAAATCATTTGTAGTGCGTACTGGCAAGTTCTGGGAACACATGCCTCTGGCCAAGTATGGGAGACCTGGCTATATCTGTTATACTATTAATCATGGCCAGGCCTCATTGTAGTATGGAGACAATAACTACAGAGGTACAAGTAATTGAAAGCTGGACGTGAGAAATAGGTCAAGTGTGGCATTCTTATTGGATGCTCCTAAGCCCCAAGTATTATCTCTTGGTGTACAAGTGGCACGTTACTGACACTTAAAATCGCCCTTTAATCAAATATTTGTTCGTGACCGATGGTGTTTGAAACATGAAACTGATATGGTTTGTCAAATAGAAATAAACTATTCGGAGAGTCAAGTTAATATCAAATTTGGGCATATGCTGAGACCTTGGGGTGGATAAAATAGATGTTGGAGTTTGTGGAGTGATCAAGGAGGGGCAAAGATCGTTTCTTTTGTTTAACAGTAAAAGGTATGAGGCAACACACGTAAAAAGGGTTTTATGCCTTTTATGTCTACCTCATCAATTTGAGCGAAAATGGAAAAATGAAGTCTTCAATTTTGAACAGTTTTGAATTCAAAATTGAATATAGAGGATGAAATAGATCTCCCTTACTTTGCGTCGAAGCCTTACCAAATGATTACAAGTGAAGTATCACGTTTTGCTTGTGTCAAACAAACTAACGATTTTCTCTTTAATTTCTCTTTATTCCTAAGAACGAATCTAATATCGTGCGAGTATGTCGGCGTATGAGATCCTACCAAGATATCCAAGTGAAAATGAATTTGAGCAATTTAATCAAATATCAAAATAATTAATGTTATTAATCCTTATATTCATCTGTTTTGATCTTTAAACTACTGTATTTGGAATGTCATATTCAATTGAAACTCGAGCTAATAGATTGGATTTGTGTTTTTGACATATACATTTTTGTTTGGTTCCTATTTGGGTGGACGAGCTGTTTTCGTCCGCTGTTCACAGTTTCTCTCTTTTATTTTAAATTTTATTGTCTTTTTGGTAATTTTGCCATGGTTAGTCTGCGAATGTCATCCCTTCCCGAGCCGAGGGTCTATTGGAAACAACCTCTCTCTACCTGCATTAGGTAAGGGTAAGATCTGTGTACAGACTATCCTCCCAAACCTCACATGTTGGGATCAAACTGGGTTTGTTATTGTTGTTAGTATGCGAATGTCATCATTATTATGCTATGGCAAAATTTTAACTCACGAGAAAAGTTAACGTGGCACAGAATATTATTTCTTTTAACCTCTGAACATAAAGTGTATAGTCCTTTGCAATCATTTGTGGGTCACGTTCATCACGCTCAAATTTAAATGGTAATGTACCTTCGCTTATGTCATGTTAATTGTAATTATCATATTCATGATATCTTGTCTTCTAAACCATTTTAAGAATTTTTTTTAAAGTGGCTAGTGTTGCTAGAACTAAATGTCAGTAATGTTTATTTGCGTTTTAAACTCATGTTATGTTTTTAATTCATCGACGTGATTTTGTTTTAAATAACTTTACAATGTTATTTGTATGGGTCAAAATTTATCTTTAGAATATCTAAGCAAAGATAGTATTAGGGGAAAAGTTCCTAAGTCGTCGCTTGTCGAAACGGCCCAAAGAGTCAACAAGAGCCGAAGTCGAAGAGCCAACAGGGCCGAAGTCGAGGTATCAGCAAGGGTCGAGGTCGAGGTCGAGTACCCTTGATAAAATTATAACGACTAGTTTCAAGATAGGATATTAAAGAGAATATTGTTAGTATACTGTATTTGTAAAATAATTCTGGAAATATAAATGAGTATAAACAGAAATGAACATAAACAGAAATGACATAAAACCAATTCGAGCCCACTGAATTCACAGTGTTTCCTTAAGGAATTTAATCCCCTCCTAGTACCCAAGGTTATGGATTATTTCCTCCCAGGATAGAACGAATTACACACTGGTGTAGTGGTACTTCAAACCCCAGTGTTTCAGCGAACACAAAGTTCGGTAGCAAATCACACTTACTTTTTGCTTTGTTTGATGACTCAGAAAATCGTAGTGAAATTCTGAGCAGAATAGTGTTGTATTTATAGCCAAAGTTAGGCTGAAATCTGAAGAGGTGCAACTCTTCAGAATGGCTGTTTATGCAAAACGCCCACAGCATAAATGTCATTACATAAATGGTCATTTACTCAATAATAAAGAGGGAAAATAAAGAGGGAAAATTGAAGAGGGTAGTTACTTTTCTGTTACCAAAACAGAAAAACGGATTGGATTTAATATTAATATTTAATATTAATATTTTGTTATTAAAACAAATATTTAATAACATTTCTGTTAATATTTTACTATTAACAAATAAATTTGGTCCAAAAAGTTAATCAATCAATCGATCATTTGATCAAATCCAAATCTGAATCCGAATCCGAATCCGAAGCCGAAGCCGAAGCCGAAGCCGAAGCCGAAGCCAAAGCCGTAGCCGTAGCCGAAGCCGAAGCCGAGCCGAGTGAGCGACGACGACGACGACGCGAGGCTTGCCTTCTTCTCAACTCTTTAAGAGCTAGAAGAAGAGCAATTGCTTATATACCCATAAAAAACCTCTTCCTCTTCCAATATGGGACAATGCCCATTTGCCAAGGGGGGGGGAACTTAAAATTTCACTCAAAAATTTTATTTCCCTCCATTTCCCATTAACCCTCTTTTAAGTATTTAATATATTAATTAAACACATCCAAAACCCAACAATCCCCCACATGAATGGGGAATGGCTATATCACGGAAGTATGCATGAAAAACTGTGTGATTCGCAAGTAAGGATTAATTGCATCTGGATAAGTAGGTTTCCCTTTGAACTTTCCTTAGTGAACTTATGTCGGATATACTCGATCAATCGGTAGATTTGATATCTTTGAACCGTCGAACTTTAGTGTATACCTAGACAACCACAAGTCACACAACCAACCCTTAACCGTCTTTGGTTCTCATTGTTGTGTTCTTTTCAGCCATGAACACCGCCTGGTTTCATAAGTGCGTAGAGAACTGGCCTTACAATGTTCTCCTTGAAGCGGCTAACACTTCACACTTACATAGGTGATTCCTAAACGTGTCATCCCGTAGATACACTATTTGATATACCCCGTATCAAATTTAGAAATCATTAAAAAGCCTTAATGCTTTATCCTTGGTACTGAACATTGTCTCATCACGAGAATGGACCAAAAGTTTAGTTGACAATGTTGAACCGTCATAAATGACTTTGTTTGATCTCCTTGAACCTAGATCTTGGGATCTCCAGTCTTCTAGGTAGAGTTACCGCCACTATGACTTGTTCTCGGCCACAGTCCCATTCCCCTTGATGACTTCTCAACTACCTCTCTAGTTAGGCCTTTTGTAAGTGGATCCGACACATTATCACTTGACTTTACATAGTCAATCGTGATAATTCCTCTAGAGAGTAATTGTCTAACGGTTTTATGTCTTCGTCGTATATGGCGAGACTTACCGTTATACATAACGCTCCCAGCCCTTCCAATTGCCGCTTGACTATCACAATGTATGCATATTGGTGCCAACGGTTTGGGCCAAAATGGAATATCTTCCAAGAAATTTCGGAGCCATTAAGCTTCTTCACCGGCTTTATCCAAGGCTATGAACTCAGCCTCCATTGTAGAGCGGGCAATACAAGTTTGTTTGGATGACTTCCAAGATACCGCTCCTCCACCAATAGTGAATACATATCCACTTGTGGACTTGGAATCAGTTGATCCGGTGATCCAATTTGCATCACAGTATCCCTCAATGACCGCAGGATATTTATTGTAGTGCAAAGCAAAGTCCTGGGTATGTACTAAATACCCCAAAACTCGTTTCATGGCCATCCAATGAGATTGGCCTGGATTGCTCGTATATCGACTCAATTTACTTATAGCACAAGCTATATCTGGTCGTGTACAATTCATGATGTACATTAACAACCCAACACACGAGCATAATCCAATTGTGATATGCTCTGGCCTTTGTTCTTTGCTAATGCAAGATTCACATCAATTGGAGTCTTTGCAACTTTAAAGCCCAAGTGCTTGAATTTTTCAAGTACTGTCTTAATATAATGAGATTGTGACAATGCTAGACCTTGAGAAGTCTTATGGATCTTAATTCCCAGAATTAAATCAGCAACTCCCAAGTCTTTCATATCAAACTTGCTAGTTAGCATACGCTTAGTAGCATTTATGTTGGCAATGTCATTACTCATTATGAGCATATCATCCACATATAAGCAAACAATGACTATGTGATTTGGAACATTTTTAATGTACACACATTTATCACATTCATTTATCTTAAATCCATTTGACAACATTGTTTGGTCAAATTTAGCATGCCATTGTTTGGGTGCTTGTTTTAATCCGTAAAGGGACTTAACAAGTCTACAGACCTTCTTTTCTTTACCTGGAACCACAAACCCTTCAGGTTGTTCCATGTAAATTTCTTCCTCCAACTCTCCATTTAAGAAGGCCGTCTTAACATCCATTTGATGAATTTCAAGACCATAAACTGCAGCTAACGCTACTAACGTTCGTATGGATGTAATTCTTGTAACTGGAGAGTATGTATCAAAATAGTCAAGACCTTCTCGTTGTCTATACCCTTTGACCACAAGTCTTGCCTTATACTTGTCAATAGTGCCATCATCTTTCATTTTCCTCTTAAAGATCCATTTAGAACCCAACGGTTTATTTCCAGGAGGAAGATCAACCAATTCCCATGTATGGTTGTTCAGTATGGATTCTATTTCACTATTGACCGCCTCTTTCCATAACAATGATTCCGAAGAAGACATAGCTTCTTTAAATGTTTGAGGCTCATTTTCCAATAAGAAAGTCACAAAATCTGGTCCAAATGAAGTAGACGTTCTTTGACGTTTACTACGTCTTGGATCCTCTTGGTTAAGTGTACTTTCTTTTGTTTCTTCCCGGGGTCGTTTAGATCCTTCACCAA